GAGGCAAAGCAGCCATTCTCTTTTTATTACTCTTAAACCACAAGCCTACTGGTTGGTGCCACCCACATCTAGAATGGGTCTTCCCTTCTCAGTAAATCCACCACCCATACCGTTAAACCAATCCATATCACACATCCATGATCCAGTCACTCTCAAAAGCCCCACCTCTGAGCACACAAGGCTTTGGGGGACAGCTAGATATAAGCTATAACACTGTTGAGAAGCAAAATGAACATGATCAGATTCTGATAAAACTTTATTAACAAAAATAGGCTGTGGGCTGGATTTGGCCTGCAGGCCAAAATGTTCATTCTTCCTCTAAACCAATCCAGAACATCTGAATGTCCTGGTATTTGGATCCTCACCCAGGCCTTCTCCAACACACAGCTCATTGTACAGATCTTGCCTCTGCTTTTGCAATCACCCTGCTGTATGCATCCCTACCCTGGCTCACACTCTGATCTTTGCAGGAATGTGCCTGATCCCTGTTGTAAGTCCAGTGAAATGGTTGTCATTCTCCAAGGCACAATCTGATTACTGCTTTCTCTCCAAGGTTTCTGTTGATTCTCCCCCAAGGAGATTCGGTTATTCTTTATCTGTATTTTCAAAGAGTTGGAAATATGTCTCATAGTTCTTCTTGCCCTCACAATGCCTGACACATCAGATGTCCAATGCTTAATGAATAATGAAATAAATCAAGTACCGCTTAAGTGTAATTTCAAAAGCTGCAATCCTAATAAGTCCCGGGAAAAATTCAGAATTGTAGTCCACACAAAGGATTTACTATTAATATCGTGAAAAGTCTTTAGCACTGAGCTTTGCTTATAGTATATACTTGGTTATTACAATCCCTAAAAACATAGCATCATGAACCTGAAGAAGCCTTGCACTGCATTAATACAGTAATTTTTACAGTGAGTTTGAGCTCTGTGGTGGGTTCCTCAGGGAGAAGGGGGAAAGGTAGTAGAAGGGCAGGCTGACTAATGAATGCCTCTTCCCTGTCACCCACCCGAGCTTCATAAATGTTAGCAGTACTTCTGCTCTATCACTGGTGCTGTCACTGCGAGGTTTTTCATTCATTCCTTCATGCACTTTCTTTCCTTTAAAAGCAAGTAATGAAACTGCAAGGTATTTAAGTGGTTCGGAGACTAAAGCTTGGAGGCATTGAAGAAAGATGTCTAACATGGACAGAGAGCCCACATGGGAGGGTAGTGAAAAGGAACAATGATTATCGTTATGGTTCCTTATAATAGATGCAAAATCTCATAAGATCCTAATAATTAGCTTGTAAGTCAAGTAGGCTAGCATTCTGTCCATTTTACAGAAGTGGAAAATGAGACTCACATAATAGAGCTTGCCCAAGTTCACCCACATGTAAGTAGCAGAATCGCATTTGAATCCAAGCCCCAGTTCTCTTTCTAATCCCACAATCCTCATTAGTTTCATCATCCACATTAAGTTAACTAATCAAGCTCCCACTGCAAAATGGCAAATTTATCATTACTTGGAATTGTTCAAAGAAAATAAATTCTTCCAAAAAGTGAAATATCATTACTGTCAGTTTGCAATTTAATGAGTTGACATGCACTTCAGTCACATTTATTAATATAAATTTAGCAAAACTGAACACAACAGTTAAATATTTAAAAGAATGATGCAAAAGAAACCATTCTTGGGAGGGGGAGATCTAGTTTCAACATACCTTTATTAAATTTAATATAACTTCTGTAGCAATTCATTCAGCTGGAAATCTAGCATTAGGCATATCTCTTGTCTAAAATGAGGAACAAAAGGGGAAGTGAACTAGGTAAAATATATTCTAGAAAAGATAGTGATAATTCTAACAAGACATTTAACAAAGGGCATTACTATAATTTGCAATATTTCCTTAGTTCTGACAACCAAGGTGTTACGGCTTGTATCTAGGGTCTATGATACTGGGCCACGGATGTGATACTAGGGTTGATTCACAATTCGATGCTAGGATTAAGAGTGTGAATGCTACCCACCCTCAGAGCAAGTAGCATGGACAAAATATAATAGAAAGAGGTTTGCTTGTTGCTTGCTGCTTGCTGCCTTCTGCCTGCCTGCTGTGATGCTCCTCTGACATGCCATACTGCCGTACAGTCAGCTGATTATGGAATGGAATCTCTACAAACTGTGAGCTAAATAAATCCTTTCCTCCTTTAACTTTGGGTACTGGGTATTTTGTCTCGGCAATGAGAAAAGGAACTAAGACACAAGGCTACACAAGGAAATGAGAATGTGTGCTTCTAGTACTGGTCAGGCCAAATGAAATGTCAGCCAAGCTTACAGCAAAAGAACAGAAAACCCATTATTGCCCCTCTGTTCTAATTTCCACAAGGAAAGAAGGGAAGTGGGGAACAGCTTGTAAGAAGAGATAATACACAAAGAAGTTGAAGAATAGAATCAAAACTCGACAGAAGGAATGTTTTCCCATGACAAGAGAGGTGTGGCACCACACAAAGTCCATGTCCCTAGTTAGTAGTACAACCAAGCCTTGACAACCTCCCACATCATTAAATAGCAGAACTGGGACTTTTGGTGACATGCAGTCTAACCCAGTGAAAAAATGTAGTTTTTCTCCAACACTTCAGACATGTAGTCATCCTTCTGTGTAAGACAGAACTCAGCACCCCAGGGTCTTGTTACTATCCCTGAGGCCTGCTAATTCAAAATGGCATAAAGCACATTCTCACCATTGAAAAAGAAGCCTGACTGGTCACAGGGCCCTCTACAGGGCTTGCCAACCAAACCTTGCTTCTCAACGCTACCATTCTCAAATCCCCTATCCTTGAGCTGAACCCTAAATTAAAACAGTATTCATAAATCAATGATTTCTGAAAACGGCCCTCCAAAAACCAAAACTGTGATCTTAATGCCAAGGTTTCCACAAAAGGGAGCTCAGCTTGAACCGAAATGAGGTTATGGTGAAGGGAATATCCTAATTTTCTTTTTTCTTATTTCTGAGACCCCCTTTTTTGATTGCTATCATGCATATACACAAAGATACACAGATATGATCAATGCAGTTTTGTAAAAACCTTCTGTTTGATAAAAAAGAAGGGATCATTTTACAGGTAAATAAACTAAGGTCATAACAGTTGCAGGGTTGAGACAACAATGTAGTCTCTTAGGCTTCTCTAGTGCATCCACAAACCAAGTGACATCTGCCTACAAGGCAAAGTTCAAACTCTACGGAGTGATATACAAGGCCCTTCTAGATCTCGCCAGACCTGACGCTCCTTTCCAACTTTTCTGTGTCCCACATTCCAGCACAGTCAAAGTTTATTAAACTGAGGTCAAACTGTTACCTACTTTTGCGCATACTAACCTTTTGGCCTGAGATGTCCTTCCCCACTTTATCTAGAACCAACTAGTCCTCTTCCAAGATTTATTTCAGGTACCCTGACCCCTATATAAAGCCTTTCCAGACCCTCAGCTAGAAATGACGACATTCTCCGTTGTGCCCTACACAAGACCTGCAAGGCTTACTGCATTATTTTCCTTCTCCACCAATAATTTCATATTGTGCTACTATGAGACAGTAGCAATTAAAAAGTGGGTGTTTAAATAGATATTTATTAGTGGAATGTATTTGTCTGATCCAATCCCATTTCTGGTGCTTGAATATCCTCTGCAAACAGCCATTCATTAGTTCATCCACACATATATATTCATTCACTGTCCTGTCTGTCAAGCAGAGGTGGATTTACTGTAAAATTAATTAATGAAGCTTAAACTTCACAAGACACTCACTTGCATCCTTCAAAGCCCCGAACCTTCTTGTGTGATTCTGCATTTTTGCTTCTTAAAAAGTAGTGATTGGCCTGGGTGAGTTCTACACCCCACAGAGACTTGTCTACTCTTACTTCCTATGATACCAAAATATGCAAGGCAAACATCTCTCTTCCTTATGGCGTTTCATGTTTGGGGTGGAAAACAGACAACCATATTTCTTCATTCACTCATTGAATAATGCTTTACTAAGCAATGCTATTAGTCATGCACTCTGAGATGAAGCCAACACTTCTCCTGGCCTTAAGAAGGAGACGAACCAAAGCCTGATGTCTTCATGTAGCAGAAAGCAGTTTAGGGGAATGTAATGTCTCGTGTCTAGATGTCCCCCAGTGCCTCATGCGGTCATTAGTGGGGCTTTTTCAGGAGTGGCTGGATCTAGTGTGTGATGCTAGGCTCAAGGGCACAAGAATTAAGGGTGTGAGTGCTGCCTGCCCTAAGTGGCCCGGAGAAGATATAAGGGGCAGAAAGGAGCTATTAAAGGTTCCTCGTTTTTGCTACGTTGTGCCTATCTGGCCGTGCCACCCTGCTTCAAAGCCAGCCGATTGTGGGCTGAAACCTCTACAAACCAAGCTAAAGAAACCCTTCCCTCTTCAATTCTGGGTGTTGGGGCATTTTGCCTCAGCAACGAGAGAAAAGTAACTAAGACAAGGACAGTAATGCGTACAGTGTGAAAAATCTTAAACTCGTTTCAGGAAGTACGAAGTCCCCTATTTTACCTAAGGAGGCAAAATGAAAGGAGAGTTGAGTGAACCTGGATTTCGAACTCAGTAAGTGGTGGTGGGGGAGACAGACAAGTAAACTGCGCAGACAAATGAACAGCTACGAAAGTAAGAAAGGGGCTGGGGAAGTTTCCCCAGGGCTCAAGTCTGCAGTGACGAAGTCATTACCTAACACAGTCACTCATGAATTTCACGGAAGATTTCCGAGCGCCTCCTTCCATCCAGAAGAAATCTGCTTCCGACTTTCCCAATACGTGTCCCCCTTTCTCAGAATAAGCCCGTTTCTTTTCCTAGCCAGCTGTTGGCTCTGGGGCCAAATCTGGTGCTCCTCTTGGGACGACTTCACACAATGTCTGAGGGCAGAAACTCGCATGGGTCCTGGGGTCCCCGTCGCGGATCCGTCCCCGTCGCGGATCCGCCCCCTTCGCTAGCGCCCCGTCCCCCTAGCAACCAGCTCACCACTTCTCGGGCCCGGCTGGAGAAGTCGCCCTTGGGCCGGGGGCTCCGGCGGAACAGCTCGTCCCGGTTGCCATCGATCCCACCGCCCACCGCCACACCCAGAGCCTTGTTCCGCGTCTTCACGGTCTTGACGCTAGCCCGAAACAGCAGCGTGATGTCCACCGCCATAGCGACCCGTCCCCACGGCACCCCACGCTGGCCGGCCCACGTCAGCAGCCGGCGACCACAGCGCAGACCCGGCAGTTGGAGGACTGTTCCGTTTCAGCACACTTCCGCCCAGCAACGGCGAGGGGAGAAGAAAGGTTCCGGCCCCTCCGAGACAGGGCCGCGAGAGGAGAAAGGTTCCGCCCTTAGCCAGCGCGTCGCGAACGTCGGGGTCCGCGACGCATTCGCGGGCGTCCGTTTCTTCTCCGCGCAAACCTCCTCCCCGAGCAAACCGTACCCGCGGACGAGAGGACGGGGAAGGCGGCAGGCTTGCTCCCTTGGGGAGGCTCTCTGCCTGCCTGGGCCGGGATGCGGAGGCCCTCACCTCGCGCGGGCCCGGGACAGCGGCGGAGGACGAGACCCGGCTGGTGCCCTCGGTGCTGACAGACAGGACGGCGGCCAGAGGCCTGGGTCTCCGACCTCAGACACCCCTGTGGAGTGAGGCCAGCACTTCGCTCGGAGTTTATTGAGCGTTCATTCGGAAGACACCGGTGAAGTGTTCTGATGTGGCCTGGCTTCTCGTAAGTGGTCGGTGAATGCTAGTTGCCGTGGACAGTGCGGTCCTTATCGGACTTCGTGAGGGCAGAGGAGACTGGTGAGGGTATCTGAGTAGAGTCGATGCTTGAGGAGGAAGGTATCAGATGCAGACAGGCGTGGAAACCACGTTGCTGACCTTTCGCCTTTATGTGTGTTTTCAGATGTACCAGCTGGCGCTTGAGCCACAATTAAACTGACTTCAAGTCAGCAATGAGGTTTTTCTATGCTTTTGGATCATGGTTCAGTTTTAACGCCAGATCGTATTGAGTTCAAGCCCCACCCCCGTTTTTTTGTTTTGTTTTGTTTTGTTTTTTTGTCTTAAAAGGATGTAACTGGAATTGTAGAACACTAGTTTTAATGGTCACCAAGATAAAAAGTTACTTTGTAATAAGACTGTGTTATTTAGCTTTTCACTCTTGTTTTCTCATGAGTTGTATAGTTGAATTTTCCAGAGCCTCCGATCTTACAACAAACTAAATGTGGAGCAGCTGTCTTCTATTAAGCTTAACTTTTGAGGGACAAAACAATATAAATGCCATTCTTCTTACTAGTTTTGTTGTTTGGGAAAATGCATTTTTTTAATAAAAAGATGCCATTAACGTTATGTACATACTAGGCTTATCCTTGTTATTTTTAGATAAACAGTGTTTTAAGCTTTTTATTTCAGTATGGTATTGATAGATAAAACCCATATAAACAAAAATTGTTTAGGGCCTTAAATAATTTTTAAAAGTATAGAGGCATTCTGAGATCAAAATTTGAGAACCACTGTGTTAAAGAAATAAATCTGTAAGAAATAAAGTGGTTCTTTCACCAGAATTGTGGAATGAATTCTGTGACCAGAAGCATGGAAAGAATTAAGTTTGTGAACTGAGGTACCACTGCAGATGTTAAAAAATTATACATGTACCAGAAAGGAGACAGGGAAAGATTATTGAAAATCCAGACTGTAGCACTTCATCTTTCTTGTGTGAAGAAAATGAATTTCCATACAGGTTTCTTCCACCTGTGGATGACAAGAGAAAGAAAAACACCTTACAAACCCTCTGCCAACGATTCTGCCTCTCCTAGATTTCTCACTGTTTTATGGAGACATTAATGAGCCTAGGGCTATGCGAAGTATGCCTGAGGCAGAGTAGGAGGGGAGTTAAGTTGCTGTGCACAATAAAGTAAGGGAGATTTCATTAGGTGAAAGGAGCCAGAACTTAAGGAGGGGCTGGAAAAGTAGAAAGTAGGAAGTCGGAAGAGATTTTGAGTGGGAAGGAGACAACTACATCAAAACTCCTGTGAATGGTGTTTAAAGCAGTGGGTTTTTGGGGTAGAAAAGCAGGGTCTAACATCTTTAAGTTTCCTGTCCAAATCTGTAAGAACAGAAGATTGTGCTGGAGTTGAGCTCAAAACATCAGGCTCTAAATCCACAAGTGACAACAAGTACACAAAATCCCTAGAAAAGTCACAAAGAAAAGGCTCTTTCCCTGACCTGATATCTTGTTTAGTCCTTTTGATTTCTCCTACCCTGTAATAAGCCAAACTTTTGTTCCTTAAGATCTACATCTAATCCAGAGTCCTGGAACCAGTGAGTGTTAACTTTCTTGGAAAACAGGTCTTTGTAGATTTAATTAAGGATCTTGAGATGAGCAGATGATCCCAGGTTGCCTATGTGGACCCCAAACCCATAACAGTGCCTTTTTAAGAGATACCTGCAGAAGAGAGGTTCACAGACAGATGCAGCCACATGAGCAGAAATGCTGACACCACCAGAAGCTGGAAGAGGCAAAGGATGAGGCTCCCTGTAGAGCCTCTGAAAGAAGTATGTCCCTACCAACACTTTGATCTCACACTTCTATCCTCCAAGACTGTGAGAAATAAATTTGTTTTAGTCACAAAATTTGTTGTTGTCTGTTCTGGGGAAACATACATTCCACAATTCTCTTCCCCTCCTACTGTTCCACCATCACATAGTCCCTATTTTCTTGGCCTGTCTCTTTCAAGTTGATTTTCTCCTGGCCCTCTGTCCCTGTTTGGGCATTGATTTCCTCCAGATAAGTCACCTTCAGCTGCCTTGGCTCTGTATCTTTCTTGATATCAATGAAGTCCTACCCTTGTGTTCTTTCATTCCCTGATCTCCTCTTTGCTGTCCTCACCACCTTCTATCCTTGGGGAATCACACCTGACTGTGTTCCTCATTCTCCAAGGAAGGTTGGAGACCAGATGAACTGAATCCCTCCACAAAAGATGCTAGCAAGGCTCTTCTCATCACAGGGTCAAAATAAGTCCCAGGCTCTCCAGGGTTCTTTGTCACCCTGTGTCCATGTGACTAAGTTTCAAGAGATAGAATTGGAAAGAGTAAAATTGGTGGGGCATTACATGTGGTTTGAATTCTGCCAGTCATATCTCAAGTGACCACCACGAGGAGCTTGACTTATTCAGGAAATCATCTTAAGACATTCCATTTGCTGATTGTCATATGGGAAGACAAAGGCTAAATGTGTGTGCACAAAGGTTAACTGGTTCTCATGCTTGGTGTTGCCTGCCATCAGCAGGAGTCTTGGGATCCCCCCCACACACTTCTTCCCAGGACTTTCCTGTTATCTCCTGCTCCAGATACATCTGTAGGACTGCCAAACTCGGCTGAGGGCAGATGCTTAATGTGACATGAACACAGCTTGGTGCAACCTGAGGGCCCAGCTCTGAAGACTGACACCTCTCACAGGAAAGGCTCCCCAAAGTTGGAATTTACACCTGGCATCACTTAATCTCAGTCTGCAGGTGGTCTTCAGGCTCCCTGTCTTAATCACTTTCTTGTCATGGAGAAATGATGCCCAGCAACCAAAACTTAAAGGAGAGGTTTATTTTGCCTTACAGTTTGTAGAGAGTTCAGTCTACAGTCAGCCTGCTCCAAGGCAGAAGGGCAGGATGGAAGGGCCTGGGCAGAAGAGACCTGCTCACCTCATGGCATCCAGGAAGCAGAGAGAAAAGGAAGGAGCCAGGGAGGGAGCTAAACCCTTCCAGACCATGCCCCCCAGTGACTGCTTCTTCCAATCAGACCCCACCTCCTAGCAACAAACCAGCTGTCCCCCATAATTCAATCACCTTCCAAAAGGCCCACCTGACTGCATGAGGATCTTGGGGGACATCTGGATGTAAACCATAACACTTCTCAAATGTTCAAGGAGAAAGTCCCACAGATGTGGACGCTAACAGAAGGCTTCAAGAGAGCAGAGGAAGTCACTTCTTTGTCACCCCCATCCTGTTTGTGTCTTGTAGCCTCTGGACACCAAAAGACCAAGCCAGCTGTAGGCAGATCACAACCCACCTTTCTCTTTGGACAATAGTGACCTCAAGTTTTATTTATTAAGAAATTTTTGTAGGGTATCCAAGTGACACATATCAAATCTGTACTCTCTAGTTAAATCTAGGAAGCAATTACTAGAAAATCACTAAAAAAGAGGAAAAACCACACACAGACATGCACCCAAGTGGCAGCACTTGGGTTTGAATTCCCACACACCGTCTTATGACTCTGGGAAAAATCACTTCACTTCTCAGAGCCTCATTTGAAAAATGTAGGAATACCTTTAACTGCTCCTGATTTGTGTGGGCAGGGATTTCCCCTAAACACCCTTCACACCTTCCTGAGGAAGAAATCATCTGGTTGTTTGACGACATATACCGGTCTGCATTCTCCTATTGTTTAAACCCATTCTGTTGTAGTCAGGGTTTACTAGAGTCAGTGGTTTGCAAAGTAATAGATTTAATATAGGACACATAATGGGTAATTATAATATAGGACACATAATGGGTAATTATTTTATAATATTCACCAAAAAAAAATTTTAATGCGGAAGAGTGCGAGAGATCTGTCGGCTCACTGGAGATCTGAAGAATCCAGCTGAGAGCCTGGATCCCATGGCAACATCCAATATGAGTACAGCTGAAAGCCTGAAGCCCACAGCAATGTCCTCCTATGCGTCCACATCAGAAGGCCCAGGAGTCTTTGATGGGAGACTGAAGGTCTACACCAGAAAGCCCAGGGGCTGGTGCTGAAGGCTGGAGAGTCTGCAATGGGAGCCAGCAGATGATGCCCAGGTGAAGGTGTGGCTGGAGCTCCTCAAAGAGAACAGCAGCTAAAGCTCAGCAGCCTCTGCTCTTCCCAGGTGAGATCATGTTTGGAGTCCTGGGAAGGCCCTCAGAGGTGAATTGCAGTGGATGCCTGCAGGATCCTGAAAAAGGCCATTCCAAGGAAAATCAGCATGAAATCCTCCCTTCCTATTCTCCTTTTATTTATGCGCTGACCACAATCCTCAGGTGGGTCTTCTATGCCCAGAGCCATGCTGACTATCCAGCAGGGCATTCCTACTCAAGTTGATCATTAGTGAATCCACCATACACTCTTGTATGCAATTGAGAGCAAAAAATTTCTACCACTGAGCTACATTGCCAACCCTTTTGTAAAAACTCTTTTTAAATTTTGAGACAAGGCTTCACTAAGTGCCCAGGCTGGCCTTAAACTGGCAGTCCTCCAGCCTCAGCCTCCCGGGTAGGTAGAACCATAGGCATGTGCCACCAAACCCCCCTAGGACATTTGTCCTTTTATTCACTTCTAGCCAACATCCTTGGGAGGCAGTGAGCTGGGTGAGGAGTGTGTTCTGCAGACTTACACTTTAGCAGAGGAGGGCTGGAGACCAGAGCACTCCAAAAACTCTGTCTGTGCCCCTTCTTCCTCAATGTAATTATGTCCACAAACCAGCTTCCCTGCTTCTCTCTTCCTATGGATGAACCCAGACCCTCTTTACTCCTGAGTTTTTGTAATACTTCTGGTCACAGGAAGGTTTAATTTGATGTATCAATCCCAAATTCAAATCCTGAGGCTGCCGAACCCAACTGGCCTAGCATGAGACTGGTACCCTCCTCTGATCTAGTCAACATCGCTGAGCATCCAAAGCCAAGTGGTTCAAGCTCAGCTGTCTGGATACTCTTTGTT